GGAGCACGCCGGGTTCTCACCGGACCAGGCCCGGTTCAACCTGTCCTGCCTTGGTCTTGTCTTGGAAGTGCGGCCGTTGTACGAACACGCTGCATCCTGCTAAGGGTGTTCGGCATCTTGTGCTTACTTCCTTCGGTACAGATGACAGCTGCGAATGACTTCATTTTTTTTCTGGCGCTTCCACTTCCGAGACCGTTGGTTGTACGTGGAAGCACTGCTGTGTAACTGCCTCGAGGGTGCTTGACCAATGTATCACAACGTGGTGCGACCATCCCGTTTGCGTCGAGTGAGGGTCCTCGACACCGCACAACATACCGTAGTAGTCGGAGAGTTGGCACCGGCCGGAGAGATGGCACCGGTCGGAGAGATGACACTGGGCGGGGGGGGAGGGAGGTGTACTCGTAGTCGTGCATGCCGTAGCCGTTAGACCATTGGCCTCGCATCCCCTCAAAGCCGGGACGGGGCACGCCGGGTTCTCACCGGACCAGGCTCTCACATCACCAAGCGCGAAGCGCCGTGAGATATTCGGCGAGTCGCATGAAGGGTGCGCTGCATCCTGCTAAGGGTGTTCGGCATCTTGTGCTTACTTCCTTGCGTACGGATGACAGCTGCGTATGACTTAATTTATTTTCTGGTGCTGTCATTTCCACGATAGTTGTGAGCACTTTGTAACTGCGTCGAGATTGTTTGACCATTTTGACACAACGTGGTACGATCATCCCACGAACGCGGAGTGAGGGTTCTCCACCCCACACAACATGATCTACTCGACCACCGTTATGGTTACCGCCAAAAAAAAACGGTGTAAAAAAAAAAGGTAACCTGGTTGCCGAGTTCACGAAGTGAATTGGCTTGTTTTACATCGTCGTTGCCAAGCGACGAAACCCCCCTCCCGATGGCAAACACCAAGGGGGGGAAAATCTAATTTTCTGACATGTAGACTCTTGTCTTATAGATAGAGATGGATTGGTTGGGTCATAGTCTATTCAAACAAAGAAAAACAGCACGATTGCCTCTAGGCCACTACGTACTACTACAGTAGTCAGCGCTGACAATCATGGTCTCGCTTCTCAACAAAAGGTAATGCCCGAGTCCGTTAAACTTGTTTTCAAGCCACGAACACGTCCCCAAGGGTTGCCATCTCTGTGATCAGCGCAACAACAGACGTCGTGCTTCTAAACAGTGTAAGCACGCTCTCCGTGGTTGGTGGGTCCTTCCAAGCAGTACAGCAGTCCGTCGATCGGTGGCAGCTGCGGCACCTTCAGAAATCAAACCATTTGAATTGTGAGCGCTGGCTACTACTGTTGAAGAAACAAGGCACAGCAAGCACTGATGCTGGTGTTCAACAAGAGTTCGTGAATAACAAGGGTTCATGCCAAAAGTGGGCCCGGTCCCATTACGGGTCTTCCAGAAGATGGACTGCGCAATCCGTGTGCACGAAGTTGGAGTTGGTTTGTAGGGACTCAAATAAATGTCGAGTTTCTTAGGTGAAAAAACTCTCCACAGCATATAGGCGGCTCAGGCGGCGATCGTGAATGGAACGACAGCCTAGCTACTGTGTACCATCAAGGATGCGTGAGTCTAGATTGGCAACACGCGTCTTTCAGCACACAGACGGGCGGAATAAGTTTTGGGAAATGGACACAAGTGGGTAGATCTATACCCACCCCTGTCTCGGACAAAAGTGGGTACTCGAAAATCCAGCGCGCGCGCACTCCATAGATAGGCGGCCCCCAAACGACTCGAAACCCCGTTCTGGCACCTGCGCGACACAGCCAGGGACCATACACAGCACGGGCATCGTTTTTTTCCCACTTTGAGGCACGCCTTTGGCCCTAAGTCCGCCANGTCCCATTACGGGTCTTCCAGAAGATGGACTGCGCAATCCGTGTGCACGAAGTTGGAGTTGGTTTGTAGGGACTCAAATAAATGTCGAGTTTCTTAGGTGAAAAAACTCTCCACAGCATATAGGCGGCTCAGGCGGCGATCGTGAATGGAACGACAGCCTAGCTACTGTGTACCATCAAGGATGCGTGAGTCTAGATTGGCAACACGCGTCTTTCAGCACACAGACGGGCGGAATAAGTTTTGGGAAATGGACACAAGTGGGTAGATCTATACCCACCCCTGTCTCGGACAAAAGTGGGTACTCGAAAATCCAGCGCGCGCGCACTCCATAGATAGGCGGCCCCCAAACGACTCGAAACCCCGTTCTGGCACCTGCGCGACACAGCCAGGGACCATACACAGCACGGGCATCGTTTTTTTCCCACTTTGAGGCACGCCTTTGGCCCTAAGTCCGCCAAGGCGCGCAGGGCCTCACCAGAGTGCCCACTTCTGTCCGACATCGCGGTGGGTATACCCACCGGCGCCAACTAGACTATGGAAGCCCTCTACACTGTCTGGGTGAGCGGAAAGTCCAGGGTTGTGGTGGCTATGTCCTACCACCGGAGGTTGGCTATTTCCTTCGGTACAATGTGGCGAGGAATGCCAAGCGTGACCGAGCGAACTCAGTCAAGCTAGGGTGGTGCGGAGAGTGGGCGAGCCTTCGTGGACCCATTTCCCATTCTCCCCTGTAAGGTAAACTACGCGGNGTGGTACCCTACTACACACGAAATTCCCAACACGTATCCCCTGGGATCCTCACGACCAGATACTGCTGCGAGTATATCTAACATCCCCCCTGCTCGCAACAGTCTCTCACTGAAAACTTCGCTAACACCCGATATCTCAACCAAAAGACGTCTTTCCCAGACGATATGCCACCAAGACTTTACCAGAATAACATAAGAGAAAGAAAAACAATTCAAAGGAATATGAATGCTGCATCGCGCGTAACAAATACTTGGCGCGGGAAATGAAAGAAAACGGGAAACAAAACGAGAAGCAAAACAAAAACCAAAACACAACCTATCAGAAAAACAATAAAATGTGCATCCCAAATTCATCACAAAATCACGGGGAGACTCGAAAACATCCTTCGACAAACTCTTCGTAAGGAAGTCTGCACGCTGGTACGGCGACGGCACGTGAATGACCGAAATTTCCTTCCTCTCTACCAGTTC